TAAGGTGTTTAGCTTAAGCCTTGTGATAAAGAACTATTGGGCACATTGGGACCAGTCGAAGCTTGAAGATGGTATTCTTCTCCAGAGATGGAAAAGTGACGACCTGGCAAACAGTTATACCGAGAAAGTTATGGGAAGTTATGCTGCGTCAATCCCGTGATAATTTAACAGGAGGACATCTTGGAGTTAAGAAGACCATGGGACACCTATGGCAGAGATTTTACTGGATTGATATGAGGCAAATGTGGAAGAATGGCACAGGACCTGCCATACATGTTGTGCTAAAAGGGGACCCAAGCAATGCTCCAATGAAGTTATATCAAGTTGTCACACCAATGGAAAGAGTAGCCATTGACATTGCTGGTCCTTTGCTGGAAACAGTACATTTGTGTGGTGATGTATTATTTCACCAAGTGGTCCGAGGCATATGCAATACCAAATCAGGAAGCTACAACTGTAGCTTCGCCTATTAGTGATTTCTTCTTCAGGTTTGGTATGCCATACGAACTGCATTCAGATCAAGGCCGTAACTTTGAATCAGGAATTGGCAAGGTTTTATAATAGCCACAAGATGACTGGGATGTCTTACAGCCTCCACTACTGAAGTCAGCTTTGTACCAGGAGACCAGGTGTGGTTGTATAATCCCAGGAAGACCAAAGGGAAGTCTCCTATGTTGTCTGGTCCATGGGAAGGCCCATATGACATTGTGGATCGTCTCTCAGACGTGAATTTCCGAATAAAATGTGGTCGGCGAGGTAAGCCAAAGGTGGTGCATGCCAACAGGCTTTGGCGTTATCACGGTCCAGGACATTTCAGTTGGAACGGAGGGAACAAATGACGATGCTGAAGACGTGTCACCTGAAAAAGCCACTCGCGAGAAGAAACTCTACCAGGTTTTGAGAAGGGAAACAGTGAAGCCCTTAAAGAAGTTACTACCACTAATGTGACTGTTATCGATAATAGGACATTTCCTGATGGAGGAGACGAACCTCCCAATTGAAGCAGAAGCCAATGAGAAGGAGAACAGTACGGAAGAAGGTACGTCCTGTAAAATTAGGTGATTTTTTTGTATTTTGATTTTGTGTTTGTAAATTCTGTACATTTAATTAAGTCATTGTTAATTATCTATTGGTTAAATGTAAGTGGCTATTGTTCGGGACGAACAATACTAAGGAAGGGGCAGTGTTATGACAGCAAAAGTCGTGTGATGCTGGGAGCATGCACGCTGAAGTTTCTAGAATTATCGGGGAACCCCGCGAATCTCCGAGTATTTGCTAGACGCCCTCTTTTTTAGTATATAAGCCGGGCAAAGAAAGCCAGTGAGATAGGCAGATAGATCGAAGAGATAGATAGATAATTGAGTCAAGCAAACAGTAGGCACCATAAGTAAAGTGTGTGAATCACTGTGATTTATAGCGTGTGTTATAAAGGTTGTTAAGTTTAAAATGACTGTGGAAATTCTGTGTATTACAAAGTTGTATCGAGAAAGAATAACCTAGGTTTAATTAAGTTCCTCGGAAAGAGTTTATTGTTTGTAATTAAGCACAAAGTTACACAATGGGCTATCTATGCTCTGCCTACCACGGGTATCAAAACCAGGATTCTAGCGTTGTAAGTCCGCAGACATACCGCTGTGCCACTGGGGGCGAAAGAATTTATACCAGAAATTAACAAACAAGCAGATACGCAACAGTAGTATGTTCGAAAATCTTATGGATTTATAAACTAATCCGGATATGAATTAGCCTATTTTAAAATGAATTGGATAAAGTGAATAATTAAAGATTTCTTGGAGTATAATTTTATTATTTTTGTTCACTTGCTTTGTGTATATCACCAAAAAACTAGTTGAAATCATTTTTAAAACAATGCCAGTGTTAATATATTTGGAAATATTGTGGAACAGATCAATAAATTAAATTGAATATAAGTATATGTAATAAGTATTTTGAAATTGGGGCAAGGGCTGGGCTGTTCCAGCTTTTCAGTTTGGAAATATGATCACCCTATTTCACTAGAATTTTAAGTTAAAAACAAATATTCATATTTAGTGAAACTCTAAAAAACTGTTTGTCAACAATTAAGTGTTTGACATGTGGATAAGTTTGACTCTACCAGAAATAAGAAAGACTTAAGGGCAACAACAAAACAAAAAATCGCGATCCATTCTTCATGGGTGTGTTAATAACAGTGACCGTCAAATCCCACTATTCGGTCAGACGAAAGCAGCCTATGAGGTAGCAGTGAATGATGTTGACTTGTTGTCTTCCATCTTGTCTATCAGTTCAAAATTAGAAACATTTAATGCAAATACGCCATGGGCAATTCTGTGCAAATATGTGAAAAATAAACCAAACAAAGGGGGAATTTATTTTTTATTTCAGAACAAAGACATTGAATGGTTTTAAAATGTTGGCTATAATGTGGTGTTATTGGAATCTTGTTTGCTATTGGGGTATTTTTTCTCTGTCATACTGAGTTTTGAATTCTATCAATCCCATTTCTTATTACTATCGTTTGCATTCAATGTTAATTGTTGTTTTTGAGGTTAAGCACAAAGCTACACAATGGGCTATCTGTGCTCTGCCCACCACGGGTATCGAAACCCGAATTCTAGCGTTGTAAGTCTGCAGACATACCGCTGTGCTACTGGGGGGCTTCAGTGTTAATAACCATCAGATAGAAGCGGAAAGAACACCAACATGTTCAAAATGAAAATATCTACAGAAAGATAATAATAATAGTTTTCTACAATAGTAATGATTAAACATAGTTATTTACGAAGATATTTTAAGACTAAACTTTAATGAGACAAATCAACTTACAAAGTTAAATATTGTTACTTATCTGCTTGTTTGTTAATTTCCGGTATAAATTCTTTCCGAGGAACTTCAGCGATACAAGTCCTTTCTTGATTAAACCACTTTATTCTTCATGGATACAAACTTTTAGCACAGGGTAATTTCACAATCAGTACGTTTTTCGTCAGTTTAAACTTAACTACTTTTATAATACACGTTATAAATCACAGAGATTCACAATCTCGATAACTTTTCTCTCTACGAGTACAAACACACACTTTATATTACCCTTGATAAAAGAGTTAGCACAAAGGATCACATATAAAGTGTAATAAACTTAAAATAAGACCCAAAACACGAGCGCTTTCGAATAGTTGACTATTCATCTTCATTAATAATTAATATTTTTTTGTTTTTTTCTCTCTACAAACGAATTCTCTTTTCCGGGAGACTAACTGCTTCAGCTTGGATTGGCTGTTCACCAGATTCAACTCAACTGGGACTTCCGGTTTTCATGACGTTACAAGTCCTACTATATATGGTATTGCGTAGGCTAAAGGTCACCCTTTGTTCTCCTGAAAAAGAATAGTCAACTATTCGAAAACGCTC